GCCTTTTTCTTCGCAGCTTCCCAGTGCGCAGGAGAGGATCTAACACCTTTCAAAACATTGTGACCATCATCGTGTTGAATCAAGTTTTGAACAAAGTTTTCGTTTAATAGATTTTGGGCCGTAACTCGGTTGCAACCTGAAAACTTTCTAAGGAAAATGGATGTACTATTTTAAATTTGTGGCAGTTCTAATTTTTTGTAATCATAAAACAACTTTGGAATGGTATACACTCTTCTGTCAAAACAGCGAATTTCAGAACGTATTATCTTGCTATATGTTTCAGAGCATGTACGTTTCTACCTATCGTATATTGTTCCAAATGACAGCTCTTCTGAATTATTATCTTGAATCACGTCTGAATAATTATGCTACAATGTTAACACTCACCAAACACATGTTATTTCCCTTTTTTTCACAAACCCCCTTTTTAGGTTTTAATAAAAAATTTTTTAGTTCTTTTTATTTTTTTTTATTAAATGTTATTTTCACAAACTTTGTACTAAAAGTTAATACCACGATTTTAAAGCGGTCGGTAGCGGAGATCGCGACTTCACGGTGACGTTGCGCAAAAGAAATTTGTGGTCGCTCGTCGTCCCCTTTTTACCTCCTTCGGTGTGGTGTGTAGTGTGTCTTCATGTGTGGGGTGATCGTGGTGGTAGGGTTGGTGTGAAATGTGTGTGGGATGATGTGTTGAGTTACTCATTTAACCATCCCGACCCACCTAGGCAAATATTTAGCTTAGCAAATTCTGTATTAGGCTTGAATTGGCAAGCCGACCATTCACCCGAAGCAGACCTTTCGAATGGATTTAGTACTAAGAGTGAGCTCTTTTTATCAATCGGCTTCGATACTCTTAGTAATGATATTTCTCGGCTGAAGTAATGCGCTTGAGTGGATGCGATAAGAGCGACCTTTGCTTTTTGTAAGTCTAGGTGCGTCACTGTATCGCATTGAGAATAGTATAATGAGGTTACTCCCTTAAGTTTAATTTTTAGTCGCTCTATGAACTTGAGCATGTAAGCGATTACCCTGAGTGCTCGGGTGTACGAGGAAAATCGCTCGAGGATGTCATTATCCTGCAATTTTGTGTGAAAGGCGTCGATTTTTCGACTCTCTGGGGCAATTATGTTACGCATGGTCGATTGAGGCCAAGATTCGGGAGATTCTATCAACCATCGGGTGCCATTCCACCAGAGGGTGGTGGTGGCAAGGTGCAGGAGTTTGCACCCTCTTGTACCTAGATTAGCTGGATTGTCAGCACTGGCTACGTGTTGCGAGGTGGCTGATCCTATTAGGTCAAGTATTTGAGACATTCGATTCGAAATATACGTCTTCTATGCATGTGGTGGTTTTTCTAACCAGGCTAGTACGATTTCAGAACCGGACCACAGATATAATTTGTATTTTGCCATGTTTAAATGCATTCGCACCATGGATACTAGTTTGGCTAGTAATAGCGCTCCACACAGTTCAAGTCGTGGTAGACTTATTGTTTTTAAGGGAGCCACTTTTGCCTGTGTTACAAGTAAGTGGCTTGTGGTCGCAGTGTCGCTTTGTGTGCGAAGGTATAAAGTGGCGCAATATGCCTTTTCAGAGGCGTCACAAAAGCCGTGTAGTTCGACTTTGTACTCTGGGGCATAGTTTACCCATCGTGGGATTTGTATCTGTGAGATATGGTTTAGTTTGTATCTGTAGTGTATGAAAACTGGTCAGATATCGCATTCTATTGGATTCCCAGAGTTTTTTTTTGTACTTTCCTTTTCGAATTTAAGGAAATTAGTATCTGACAAATTTGTATGTGGTATATTTTTTAAAATATTAGGGTGGTTCGCCGTTATCTTTTTCAACGGAAATCCCGCGGTTTTGAGGGCTTTTACCACTTGTGATAGTGACTCGTATGCTTGTGGAAGACTGTGACTTCCAGACAAGATATCGTCTACATATGTTTGTGTTTTTAACACCTGGGTTGCCAGAGGAAATTCTGACTTGGTATTTTCTGCCAATTCGTGCAGTGTTCAAATGGCTTAATATGGAGCACAGTTGACGCCAAAGGTAGCTATTTTCAATTTATAGTCGCGGAGTAGACTACTGATCCGAAAATCTCCGGAAAATAATTCGCTGAAAATCTTGATCGTCTTTATGTACGACTATTTGTCCACACATTTTTTCGACGTCTCCGTTTAATATGTATTTGAATATACGCCAATTTAATATGAGGAGCATTAAATCTGGTTGGAGCGTGGTAAATATAATATCATTCCCCGAGCTAGTGGATCTTGATGCATTAAAGACAACTCTTACTTTAGTTGTCTTTTTGTCTGGCTTTACTACTGCATGGTGCGGCAAGTAAAATGAGTAGTATTTGTCGTTGATGATTCATCTAACTCTAACTAACTGATATTCTTCTAACTCCCAAAATTTTTTAATTCGTTTGAGATTTCCTCAACTTGAGTGGTCATGGTGGTAACTAGTAATAACTAGTCCACTTAGGATCCAACCGAAAATAGTATTTTGTGCCAATAGTGTGTTTGAAATTTTCTCAATACCCTCAAGTATTATCTGAGGCATGAGATCGCTGCCTAATAAAAGATATATTTGGGCGAGAGTATTGCAGTTGGGATCTGCTAGCTAGTTGTGAAACCTTTTGCCAATGCTTGCTATTAATGTGATAGCTTGGAAGCATATTTGTAAGTTGCGGTAAGACTATAGCTTCTGCTGTAATTCTCTTATCCGCATGGGGGAAATTAAGGTAATGGGGCAAATTTTATTAGAGTTTTGCACTACTCTTCTGCCCATTCCTGTAATTTCAAAGTTGGCTTGTTGCAGTTGTAGCCTATTTTGTGCCCTAGACGCTATGAAAGATCGTTGTGATCCTTGGTCTATTAAGGCCCTAATTTAAACAGTTCTCCTCGGTGTTCGATGGAGACTAATGCTGTGGGTAGTAGTACCCTACTTTGGTTTTCGCTGTGTAGCGTTTGAGCTTTTAATGCCTTTGAGCATGTGACATACAGTTTGTACAAAGTTTCTTTGTTCTTACATAATTGTTTCGATCGGTAATATTAATTTTTTTGAATTTCTTGTAAGATTTGAGCTTATGCTCCCCTGTACACAGTTAGCATGACGTTTGTTTGTATTTTTTTATGTATTTTATTATTATATATTTTATTTTTGTGTATTTATACCTATATTATCTTGATATCTATTTTTCCGCACTTTTTGTATATATGTATATATTTTTATGGCCTATATACGTATATTTTTATATTCGGCACTTTTTTTTGTTTGTTTTATATATGTACCGCACTTGCTTGTTTCACTGTACACTTTTGATTTTTTTTTTTGTTTTGGGTTTATGTATTGTATATATAAGCATTCGATCTCCGCACTTTTGTTCTTTATTTTATTAAAATTTTTTTTTTTTTCCTAATAGTGCCTTTCCGTAAGGCTCGAAGGACCAATGAATAATTATGCTACAATGTTAGCACTCACAAAAGACATGTTATTTTCCTTTTTTTACAAACGCCCTTTTTAGGTTTAAATTAAATTTTTTTATTTATTTTTATTTTTTTTATTAAATGTTATTTTCACAACCTTTGTACTAAAAGTTAATACTACGATTTTAAAGAGGTCGGTAGCGGAGATAGCAATTTCACGGTGACGTTGCGCAAAAGAGATTTGTGGTCGCTCGTCGTCCCCTTTTTACCTCCTTCGGTGTGGTGTGTAGTGTGTCTTCATGTGTGGGGTGATCGTGGTGGTAGGGTTGGTGTGGAATGTGTTTGGATGATGTGTTAAGCCTGGATTTAAGTCTGAAGGTAAAAGACCCATAGGAATATTATTAACTGAGGGATTATCATGAGAAGTTTGTTCCGCATGAAAAAATTTATCTAATCGGAAATCCTCTGCAGATGCAAAAAACGGAATTTCTTCTTGGTTATAAAATTCTGAAATCCAGTTCTCATTAATATGTTTATTGTGCTCACGATATGGAGGGGTATTCAGTAAGAACTGCAAAGCTTCCATAATCTTTGCGGGGCGTATTGTATCGATCATGTAATCCTGATTGTATTCCAAACGCATATTTTTGGAACGTTCTTTTTAACAATCGTATTTTTGCAAGCAGCACATAAATTGAAATTTCCATCTTCCGAAGAAAATTTTTGCATTAAATAGAAGGCGGGCGGATGCAGCATTCGGGTGACCTTGCGCAATAGTTTAGAAATTTAATTTGCGAACTTGGTGTGAAAACCATAATCCGCCGCAGCAAATACATATTTCAGTAGGGCCCTTATTTATATTTTAGAAATAAATGTTTTTGAAATCTGTTAAATTGTCACTATAATCAGTTTCTATAATATTATTTCCTCTCGTTAATCGGATTCGTTGGGACTGCCATTTTTTCAATTGTCTATTTTTTTCAATTTGCCTATTGACCGGGTTATCTCTACGAAGGCGAACCTGACTTTGTCTAAGACGTATCTGATTCAAAATTTCTTCCCCCGTACCCCTCCTACTAAGCTGTCGGCGTTGTGTTTCTCTATCACGTTCTCTCTTCTTGTTTCAGGATTTCTTCTAGCATGTTCTCATAGGTAGATAGGTAGGTAGAGTGGCTGTCTAACGACGCACCTAGGCCTATGGGAGGCCCATTGTGATACCACCGGGACTACTGTTCCCTCACTCTATCGTCTCCTCTCTGAACCAACCTGTGCTTCTGATGAAGCTCATCAGTATAAATAATTTTATATTAGCAACTTCTGATACGTCGTCAAGGAATCCACGACCGATAGTTGCGATTCTTTTCCTGCATAGAGCTTTACATTCGCATGGAAGATGTTTTACTGTCTCCTCTTCTTCTACTTCTTTGCAGCTTCTACAATAATCGTTGTAAGGTACACCTAGCCTGCTGGCATGTCTACCAATTAGACAGTGACCTGTTAGTACCCCAATCAGAGTTCTTATATCATTCCTTTTGAATTTTAATAGTCGGTTTGTATGACTCTTGCTCCATTCCTGCCACGTTAGTCTGCTAGTGGAGCAGGTTATGGATTGTCTTCACCGAGACTCTGCTATATTTATAGCATGTTCGTTGATTAAGTGCTTACAAGTTGCCAGGGGTATAAAAATTTCCCCTTTTTCAGGGGTTAATTGTAACTCGGTGCCTGTTCTGGCTAGTTCATCTGCTTTGCAGTTTCCAGGGATATCACTATGCCCTGGAACCCATTGCAGGTTTATCGTGAAGTAGAATGTTAGATCCTCTAATAGATTAAGACATTCTTTCACTATCTTTGATGAGACCATAGGAGACTTGAGTGATTTCAAGGCCGCTTGGCTATCCGTATAAATATATATGTTCCTTGTTGTGAGCACACTTTTTGTCAATACAACAAGGCTTTCTTTGATTGCTGTGATCTCCGCCTGGAAAACACTGCAGTGGTCTGGTAAGCGGAAGGCTATTTTGGTGTCTAAAGTTGCGCAAAAGACACCACCTCCCACTCGATTATCTAGTTTGGAATCATCCGTGTAGATGCTAATTCCTGGGTTCCTGTCCACCTCGTCCCTTTCCCATTCCTCTCTGGTGGGGAAGGCAACATTGTGGCCGGAATTTAGCTTCAATTCTATTGGATTACAGAAATCCGTGGTTTTGGATAGAACCGGGAACGATCTAAGTATTCTAGAATGCCCCTTGTTGCAGGCGACTAATTGGGAGGATTCCCTTAGTCTGAGAGCAGACTTTGCTGCCACTTGCTTACAGAACAGGTCTGTTGGCAATAAATGTAGAATGACGTTTAGTGCCTGGCTAGGCGTTGTTCTAAGAGCTCCGCTAATGCATATACTGGCTGCTCTTTGCATACTTTCCATACACCTCACCGCGTATTTCTTCTCCATTATTGGCCACCATACCAATATACCGTATGTCATGATTGGTCTGACAACTGCTGTATAGAGCCAATAAGCTATCCGAGGCGTTAGCCCGCATTTGTGGCCCACCATCCTTTTACAAGTGTAGAGTGCTGTGGCTGCTTTCTTATACCCAGTATCCAAGTTTTGTTTCCATGAAAGCTTCCTGTCTAAGATTAGTCCTAGGTAGCTTGCTTTATCTCCAATTGTTAGTTCGCAACCCTTTAGTACTGGTGCCGTAACTACTGGAGTGTTATGATTCCTGGTAAACAATACTAGCTCTGTCTTACCAGCATTTAAGTTTAATCCGCACGATACAGCCCAACAGTTTATATCGTCCAGGATCGTTTGCATACGGTTTGCGAGAGTATTAGGGGATTTACCTCTAACTGATACTGCCACATCGTCAGCGTAGGCCACAACATGTACCCCCTTCTTCTCTAGATCCCACAGCAACTTATTCATTGTCAGGATCCAGAGAAGTGGAGATAGCACGCCTCCTTGGGGTGTACCCCTTTGGACGGATCTGCGCATCGTTGACGCTCCCAGCTTTTAAATTATTGACCTGCTCGTGAGCATCTGTTCAATTAATTTCCTGAGAGGTTCAGAGATGCCCAGATCCTTAAGCGCACTCAGTATGGCCCTAGGCTGGATGTTATTGAAGGCTCCTTCTATATCTAAGAAGGCGATTAGAGTGTATTCTTTAACTTCTAGAGATTTTTCAATCTCCGTCACCACAGAGCTCAGCGCTGTTTCTGTGGATTTACCTTTAGAATACGCATGTTGTGAACCAGCCAACTTGTCTGGTGTTAGTTTGTTTCTTATATGTAATTCTATTAGCCTCTCCAACGTTTTTAGAAGGAACAAGGAGAGACTAATAGGTCTGAAGTCCTTTGGATTTGTATGCGAGCTTTTGCCTGCCTTAGGTATGTCTATTACCTTGACTTCCCTTCAAAGCGAAGGTATATAGTTTAATTGCAGTGCCCCCTTAAGAATGGTAACAAGCCAATCCATTATGTAATTCTGCGACTGCTGTAATTGAGCCGGGAATAGACCATCTGGTCCCGGCGACTTGAAGGGCTTGAAGCCATTTATTGTCCAGCGTACGTTGCTTTCTGACACTGTGTTTATAAGAGTGGAGTCTATTTCTGCTCCACTGTCTTGAGTATATACAACAGTATGGCTTTCAGAGCTACCTTGGAAGTGGGTATCCATTAGTAGTTCCAGTGACTCTTTACTGGATACCGTCCAGCTACAGTCTGGCCTCTGCAGATACCCGATACTATGCACCGATTGTGCCATTATTTTCCTAAGTCGAGATGCTTCCGCCGTGTTCTCGATATCATTACAAAAAGATTTCAAAGAATTTCTTTTTACTCTCCTAACTTCCTTCTTGTATGACCTAAGGAGGTTGTAGTAATGATCCCAGGCTGACTCGCCTTGGGATTGCTTTGCTAAATTGAACTGCTTTCTGCATTCTTTCTGTAACTTTTTAAGTTCGAGAGACCACCAGGGTGGCCTAATTCTACCTCTACTTCGTGTTATTGGACAAGCCACTTCTAGTGTTTGCCGGCAAGATTCAGTGAATTGATCAGCGAGGATATCGAGATCCTCCTTACTTTTGAGCTGAAACGGCGGAATCATAGGGATACGTTTTTCCAGCTCTTGCATGTGCACCTGCCAGTTCGTTTTCCTATGATTCCTGAAGTTCATGCCTCTATCGGCCCTTTCTTCTAATGTACATTCAATATATCGGTGATCCGAAAATGAATGTTCTTCGAGGACTCTCCATTTAATTACCCTGTCAAATAGTACTTCCGACACAAGTGTGATATCCAGTACTTCTTGCCGGTTTCTTGTAATGAATGTTGGCGTACTTCCCTTATTACACAGCAATAGCTTAGTGCCTAGTAGGTAATTGAAGAGAGACTCACCTCTGTCGTTGACATCTGAGCTGCCCCAGACTGTGTGATGTGCGTTTGAGTCGCATGCAAGTATTATCATGTACTTGGATGCCTCGCTATCCCTTACCACCTCTTTTACCATCAGAGGGGGCACCAGCCCCTCCTCGTACGGCATATAGCACGACATCAGCCGATAACTGCATATGCTCCTTTCCCAGCTTACTGCTACTGTGTCGTTGTTGCTGTAATGATGTAATATAAAAACGTTAAGGTTTTTCTTTGCCATTATGCAGGCTCTGATTTTACCTTGACTACTAGCCATAAATAAATTATAGCTCGGTGTCCTCAGTCCGCAAATACGCCCTCCATTAACCCATGGCTCCTGAATGAGGACAAACTCAGGCTGTTCTTCTACCATGCGGTTAATTAGGGCTGCTGAAGCTAGTTTGCTGTGATGAAGATTAATTTGTAAGAGACGCATTAACTAGTGTTGTTTCTGCGTCTTCCTGAGAGTCGCTTAACAGCTCTCTCTCTCAGTATACAAGTTTACGAGTCTGGCAGCAAGTTCAGACTCGGAAGAACACTCACCTTGCTCTATGCTCTCTACATCGCTTGAGGACTCCACCGGATCTTCCTCTACTTCGCATGTCTCGCTTTCCGATGCTAGATGGCCTGCAGCATTGGCGTCCGACTTGTACGGTGTAATCCTCACTTTCGTGAATCCGTAGTTTGTCTCCCCGCCACTTTTTGCCAGCGGTTCGATGGATTCTTTTTTTAGTAATAGCAGAATCTGCATTGTGGCCCTTTTGGTCTCCACGCCAGATTCTGCTACGCTATCGTCAAACAAAAATATGATCATAAATGCGCTCTAAATTCCTATACTCAGAATATCTTGCGCGAACATCGGGATTTTCTTGACGAGATCTATGACCTAGAGTATTTCTTATTTGCTCTTCAGAACGATCTTGGGGGATCTTGCCGCCTTGTTCTATGTTGAATAGTATTTACAGCTTGCTCAAAATATCGTAACTCGGGATCTTCGCGCCGAGATTTATGACCTCGAGTAGTTTTTATTTGCTCTTCAGAGCGAATTTGTGGATCTTGCCGCCTTGTTCTATGTTGAACAGTATTTACAGCTTGCTCAAAATATCGTACCTCGGGGTCTTCGCGCCGAGATTTATGATCTCGAGTATTTCTTATTTGCTCTTCAGAGCGAATTTGTGGATCTTGCCGCCTTGTTCTATGTTGAACAGTATTTACAACTTGCTGAACAGATCGAACCTCGGGGTCTTCACGCCGAGACCTATGACCCCAAGTAACCTAGAGATTTTCGCGCCGAAATCTATGTCCCCGAGTATTTCTGCTTTGCTTTTTAGAGCGGATTTGAATTTTCCCGCCGGGATCTATGTTGATTCGTATTGATAATTTGTTAGGACAGACATGCATCGGAATCTAATCTACGATTAGCGTGATGTACAGTATCTTGTGACTGCTCACTATCTCTATAAAAAGAGTTTGCACGAAGAACTCTCATACGTCTTCTATTCTGAAGACGACTTAGTAATACAGAATTTCTACTTAAGGTAGGCATAATTAATAAATAATAAATGGATTAATATATAAAATACTTATATACCTATAATACTTATATAATGCGGTCCGTCCGGGTGTGCTAAGTTGGATCCTAGGTGGTGCTCTCTTTCATTGTAATTGAGGCCTTGCTATGACTCCTTTCATGTTTGGTGTATAGGTACTATGGTATACTGGTGCACATATGTATGTATGTTTGCTCGCCACTGTGTATAATAATAGCTTAAACACTATATAAGTAATACACTAAAACTAGTTTGAATAAAGCACTTTGTTGGTCAAGAAATCTAGTGTAACTGAAACTACAAACACAGTGTACTGATATTTATTATACTCTTGCAACATGTTGCTACAGAGTATAACAGTTTTGTTAAGGTTTATTTTGTACACATTTAAACCGAAGGGTCTTTAGCCCTTTTCGTACTACACTACTATTATTTATTTCACGCGATTTTTACTAGAAAGATATTTTTGCTCTTTAAAAAGTCCAGCACTCTAAGAAAGTTTTTTACATTGTTGTCTGGTATGTTTTGTTATAAGTTCAACATGATGGCTGAGAAAATATTAGAAGAAATATATGTATATAGAAATCTAAATCTATCTCGATTAGTTTTAGGTGAAGCAAACAAAGGTTTGGTGAACAAAACTACATATACTTTGTTGTAACATGTTGCGAAAGTATAAAAATGTTGTGATAGAATTCAACATTCATTATTCGATTATTATTTGATATCTTAATAGCTTATGTTATTGATCATAGTTTTATTTGTTGTCAAAACTATTTTTTTCTCCGAAATGTTTACTTTAATAAAAAGAGGCTATGTAACTCAAATATGATATATGTTATATAAAGTGAACCAAAGGAGTTATATCTAATATGTGGGGTATATGAGGTAGCTGTTGGACCAGAGGAGCGGAAATCAGTATATTAGGGTTATAACGTTTAAACCAAGGTCTAGACCAATTTCATTCTTATGCAGCGATAAACTACATTATTTTTAAGAAAAACTGTTCATTTATTTTCATTAAATTATCAAATTAACGAAAACAATTAAGGAAGGGCTAATTCGGATGTAACCGAATATTTTATACTCTCGCAAAGTCAAATGGTATACTCGTTTGAGATTTCTTTGTGGATTGATTGATATTTTCGGTAGAAGGTCAACTATAGGCACTGGGGTCCACATATTTAGTACTTAGGGGCTTGAACAGTTTTGGTTCGATTTAGACAATTTTTAGTCACAAGGTGGCATACTTTACATGTATTATTCACGCAAAGTTTTACCCCGATATAATCATTGTTGCTTGATATACATAGTGGAAAGTGAAAGAATCAGATGGAATTGAAAAAGGTGTTATATGGAAAACAGGCGTGCTTGTAATCCGATTTCGCCCATTTTCGTATTATAACACAGAAATATGAAAAGAACGTTATGCACCGAATTTGGTTGAAATCGGTTAAGCAGATCCCAAGATATGGGTTTTCACCTAAAAGTGGGCGGTGTTGCCCACTGTCTAATTTTGAACGCGGTTCCTATAAAGTCATCTCATACCATCCCTGAGATAAAATTTAATGTCTCTGGCGTGTTTAGTGCTTGATTTATCGCGGTTTTAGTAGTTTTTAACAGTACCGTTACATGGGGAGTAGGCGGGGTTGTCACCCGATTTCTCACCGTAGGTAGAGGGGCTAAAAACATTTGCTTCCAGTGAATTTTGTTAATATAGCTTTAGTAGTTTAGGAGATATGCACATTAAACCTATTAGGGGCGGGACCACGCCCACTTAGAAAAATTTTTAATTGCAGATGCCCCTCCCTAATGTGATCTCGTGTACCAAATAACAGTATTGTATCTTATTGCGGAGCTTAGTTATGGCAATTTATTTGTTTTTGATTAATAACGTTTTGTGGGCGTGGCAGTGGTCCGATTACGCTCATCTGCAATACCAACTGTTCCACGGTACCAAGAAACATGTATAGCAAATTTTATAAAGATACTCAAGTTACAGCTTGCAAGGACGGATGGACGGACGGACAAACAGTCACCCGGATTTCAACTCGTCTCTTCATCCTGATCATTTATATATGTACAACCCTATATCTAACTCGATTAGTTTTAGGTGATATAAACAACCCTTAGGTGAACAAAACTATTATACTCTGTAGGAACAAGTTGTGAGAGTATAAAAATTATACTATAAGTAGTACATGTGAGCTGGGGAAATTCATGGCCCGATTTCACACATTTTTGACATTAACCTATCGTATATTTAATATTTTACGTTTATATAAAGCCAAACGGAAGTTTTAATTTTTAACATAAAATATGTTGGAGCTAGGGTCAATATATCCCCGATAATGGGGACTAGGGCGGAACCGGAATTTTATACTTCTTGACTTATATTAAGGGCCATAAACTTAGTCTCAGTTTTATTGCTTGAATTGAGATAAACATAAGTATGAATGCGATAATAACTCTACCAAAGTAGCTAAATTTTATATTATAAGCTTATGTGGCAAACGTCAACCAGAGAATCGGAATTCATTATATGAAGGTGTGTTGTTTAGACCAATGTATATACTAATTTTATTCAAATTCAGCGTCAAACCACATAATTTTTAAGAAATCTTATCCACTTAATTTCGTTAAAATATCACATTTTGATCAACCAGAACGGTTTAAAGTGAGTTATAAAGTCGTAATTCATATATATCTATACTAATATTATAAATGCGAAAGTCCGTTTGTTTGTTAAGCTTTCACGCAAAAACTACTTAACAGATCATCATGAAATTTTGTACATATACTCTTAGAGGTGTCAGAATGAACATAGGATACTTTTTATTACAAAATTTGTAAATTTTTTACGGATTATTAAAAAAATTATTTTGGAAGATTATATATGTTTGGAAAATAAATTTGAAAATTTTGAAATTGAAAAAAAAAAGTTTGGCAGAAATGATTGTTTGTCGAAAAAATTAAAAATGAAAGAAAACATAAATGTATAAAAAACGTAAATCAGAGAAATAACACAAATATTATTAGTTACTCTTATTAAATATAAAAATGCCTCGAAAGCGGAAATCGGCGCTGTCAAGAAATTCTACGCCGGTGCGTAAGGCTAAAGTTACACGAAATAAAGAATGTGAAGTTCAAGCAGAGCTGAGAAGGCAACAGCAAGCAGATCGACAACGTGTTTTGAGAGCAGCTGAAACTTCTCATCAGGCACGAGTACGTTCGAAAAGACAAGCTTAGCAGCAGGAAGCTAGAAGAGCAACGGAAACGCAAGAACAATTGCAGGCAAGAAGAATTAATGATGCAGAAGTAAGAACCACGCGTCGTCGTAATTTCATAACTAAGAATTGGAATATATATAAAATATATTCTTTATATGGATCCATATCTACTATAATGATATCAGTTATTTATTTGATGGATTCGATGCGAGCGAAGCCGCGGGTAAAAGCTAGTATTATATATTATATTAGGGATAGGGAAAGATATTAATTTTGACATTGCTCAGCTATACTCGAGAATATACTTTGAAGCAATTTTATATATAAAACAAAAATATTAATATTCATTC